GCATTCGCAATAAAATGCATTTGGTTATCACCGTGTAAAATATCAAATAATTGAACTATCATAATTCTTTAGCATGTAATTACTATTAATACGGTAAAGATTTAATAGTATTGTAATTTTAATTACTATATACTGTAGTATATACCATTCATTGTAACATATCTATAATACTATAAATAGTATTTTTCAGTCAATAAATTCCTGTTTAATATAATACAGTATTATTTATAAACTTTCATTTTTAGGAGACAATAGGTATTTGAAATTTGGTTCAAAATAGTAGTCACCAATGTAAATTGTGTATTACACTAGCTATGTCTGTAAATCCTTACCACTTAAGTCATGAACTCATAACACCTGAGCCCCTCAGCTCTCTCTCTCTCTCTCTCGCATTTGCACTGAATTATACATAAGTCTCTCACACCTGATCCCAACAATTAGTAGTCAACAGAGGGTTTATTATAAATTAATGTTTCTATATATCTGTGATTTCTCACTACCTGTCCCCTCACACACCAATCACACCAAATATTAACTTATGTAATAAATAATGCATAGGTTATACATTTTAGCGACATTTGAAACCATTTTTCATGTATTAATTGCAGTCACACATCATAATTGTCGGCATATTAACTATTCTATGGGCACATCTCCATCCCATCCCTGAGCCCTCAGCACAGGTATGTGTTGTTAGTTAATGACAAATAAAGCGCTGAAAACTACCCATTATTTCACATTATGTTTTTGGATAATATATTTTTAATTGATGTGAGAAAAGACTAGTTTTACACCTTATGTGTACTACACGAGTGTATTGAGAGTTATATTTGTTATCAAAATAGGCATCACTTCACTAATTAGAGACTTTTGGGAAAAATGCATGCCTCCCGTCCCCCTTACTATGGGTACCACTCTTTCCGACAATTTACTGAAAGGTATGAAAGTGTGAAATAAATATTATTTTTTCTGTGATAATGACTTTCTCTCTGCATTTTTTACAGCCGTTCACACGTATTATAACACATAGCGTTAGATACGATACGTTTAGTAGTATTTTCATGTCTGGGATATACTATTAATGCAAATCGCGATTAATATTGCGTTCACGCGATGTTTACATCCCGAAAGAAAAATGAACTTTTTTTTGTGTTGAAGTAATTTTTTGTTTTATGTTATAATTATAGCCCACTATAGCACTCAACAGTTTGTTTTTGCGGAGCAAAGTGTTGATTATAATCCACTTTTTTTCGTTATGCATGTCTGGGCTGTTGGTATTGTACGCTAAATCCGGCGTAAAATCGGTGTATAATTTTATAGTGGAGTAGAGTTTTTATATAAATCTATTTTTCGTAACAATTTTTTATAAGAAAATTAATATATAGATAGAATAATAGCCCATATTTTGTAGACACTATAATTATAGTAGTTTTTGTGGGTATTCCTGTAAGTGTGTAAAGTTTTCTAGAAAGTGAAAGTACAATTTGATTATATTATATGAAACTCTATATAAATCGGTTGCATTGATGAGGGTAGGTTGTCCACATATCTACTATTGACAGTTTAATATTGGATAAAATATTTCATTAAGTAGTAATGTTAAATCTTTATAGGAATATGATCGTGAATAGTTAATATTTTAATGAATAAAACTGTAAATAGATTTTGAATGGTTTTGAAGCCATTTATTGAATTTATTGAATAGAGTTGTGCCCTGATAATTTAAATAGTGATAATTGGTCAGCCTAGATGTGAGCTAATGATTGAGCAAATATTGATTAAGAATGTGATTTTCAAACACCACTAATAATAGGCAGACATTTATTCGCTTCCCTCTCACTATATATCTCAGTGTTTGACAATCGGTCAGCCCCTCCATAACCCAACATAAAAAAACTTAGCGGTAAGTGCTTTGACCAGTCAGTCAGCCCCTGTCCCTCATAACCAAAATGTTTACAATGAAAGCAATTGAACAACAAAAACATAACACAAATATTTGATACATGTTTTTGTGTTGGATTTTATCGTGAGTTATGTTACGGAACGCATCACTACTTAAACGTCGAGAGAGAGAGAGAGAGAGAGAGAGAGATGGAGAATTATATTCTCATTACACGTAATATAGACATCACATGTATTGGCCGATTGAGGGGTGAAAACAAATTTATAAGGATTTTCGATGAGAGACAGGCTTTAAAAATAGCAAAAAATAACAACAAAAATACAATTCATAACTACAAAACGCAATGATTTATAGATTTATTTNAACACGACTGTTGAGGTTAGATAACAACCATCTCTTGTCGGGTCAAAGCCGTGAAAATCGACGACTCATCTCATGTTTGGTGTATTAATATATAGGGAGCCGACGGGGGAAAGGCGTGTATATGAAACCGAGTTGAGTGTGTTTTTTCGTAAGCTGTTATGATATGATAGACAGCACTAACAAAATAAATAATAATTCTTGCTTTACATGTCTAATGTCTATACTTTCAAAACAAATGCCAAATATTTTTTCGATAGTTTGAGTTTACTGTACTTTTTTGATAGTTAAGTTAAATAAAGTTGAGATTTAAGTGTATTTACAGGGACTTCAAATATAGTCTTGAATTTTTGGTGTGTTCAAAGTTACGTGTTCAAACATTTTATTTTAATTGTTTAGTTTGTAATAAAAATTTTTTTAAATAAAAACTATTTCTGAACAAAAGAAATAATAACTTTCTAATAGTTTTTCAATGATTTATTTCATATTCTGTATCGAAATATAATTATTTATCTAATAAAATACTATTAATTGAAATTATTATCAGTTGACTAATGTAAGAAATAGAAAAATATTTCAAACTTTTCAATTAAATAGCAAACAATTTATTGCTTGACTTAGAAATTTTTACTATTGAATCAACTTTTGGTAAAAACTCAATAGTGTTGTGAACAACAAAAAAATAAATCTATAAATCATTGCGTTTTGTAGTTATGAATTGTATTTTTGTTGTTATTTTTTGCTATTTTTAAAGCCTGTCTCTCATCGAAAATCCTTATAAATTTGTTTTCACCCCTCAATCGGCCAATACATGTGATGTCTATATTACGTGTAATGAGAATATAATTCTCCATCTCTTACTCCATATAACAAAATGATTGCCAGAAAATAGCAAAAACAACACACATTTCGGTACGAAAACCTTTGTAGTTGTGTATCGTGTTTATGAGGTATACCATACAATAGTATATTACAGTGTATTTGGATTAATATTTTTGTTATGATATTGTTTTGTAATTTTATTTTTTCATGAAATCACAAAATGTCGTAAAGAATTAGATTTAACACAGAATTTGAAAGTTGAAAAACTTGCGAAGAATTATGTATTAATCAATTTATCACTTATTCTCTCTCTCTCTCTCTCTCTCTCTCTCTCCCTTATGGCTAAGTATTGCGTTTTGTAGAGTCTATCGGGGATTAAACCCAAGAGTTATGTCATAACTAAATATAGGCTTTCCATTCGTGCGGACTATGTCTGAGAAAAATATTTGTTACCTATCGGTGCTATCAGTGCTGCCCTTATCTCTCACTTCTGATCGCTTCTGCCTTTGTGTCAGCGCTCAGGCATTCATTGTGCGAATAGTTTGGGAAAACTTTTGTCTAATACCAGTGCCGGAGATGTTGTTTTTGGATATGTAAGAAATAATTGTCTGATTAAGTGTTTTGATTAGTTTTCATAGGTTTTNACTATCATATAATTAATTATTTTTAGGGAAACCGAGAGAGAGAGAGAGAGAGAGAGAGAGAGTGAGAGAGAGAGAACTACTTTATTAAGAAATGAAAATTGCTTTTTAATAAAGATTTTTTTATTTGATACCTAAGCACCAAAAAATAACTAATGGTCTCCTCTTATCGATAATAGAAAATATATATTTAATTAAATACTGTTTATATTGTGGGGAACAGTA